CCTTGAAAATAGCCCATATAACCAGATGAAAATAGTGACAAAACAAAAGCCTTAATTGATTTCTAGAGTGTGAAAATCTAGACAGAAATCATAAAATAAGAGAAAGAGGTGCAACAAACCAGGTACTAGGCAAAGAAGAATAAAGTATTAAGGAAATTAACATAAGGTTATCATAAATTAATGCTCAATAATATTTATCTTTCAGAATCAAAAGGGCAAAATGAAGTTAATACACATACACACATGCATTGCATCAGATGCAAAGTAATTATCAAGACTCAATCTACAATGGTGAAGCATCATTCTTGGGTAGCTAGTTTTTGTGATATATAAACTATATATGAACACATCAACAAGACATAAAAATAACCATACATTAAAAGCATGCCATATATAATAATTTTAATTAACTACATGCTTAGTACTTAACTCTTCCATAAAGTAAACCATCAAGTTCTGAAAACCCTTCAATGAAACCACTAAACTTATCATTTGACTTTGATCTTCTCCATATATAATCTTCAACTTTTTCCTCTTGATTGTTTACCCTAATCTCATTTTTCAGATTTGGAAACACTTCTTCATTTTCTGACATGATCATGGCCTTGTTAGGGTGTAAATCCATTGATTCTTTAATTGGTGTAGCCTTTGATTTGCTTCCACAACCTCCTTCATTTTCTGGTTTCCCTGTGAGTCTTTGAACTAGTTCTCTAAAATTTGCAGCATCAGTTTTTATGATCTCTGGAGCATATATGTGAATTATCCTAATCTTTGGCTTGAACTTTGAGATCACATGTGAATCTCTTTCAATTCCTAACTTAGAAGATGCTGACCTTGGATAACATGTTTGTAGTTTTGTCATTTCTTCTATGGAAACTCTTAAGAGGTAGTTGATTATGAATGTTGAAAATAAGAGTGGGTTGAGAATAATGCTTATATAGTAAAAATATATAAGAGAAAACAAAAATGTATGTATAATGAGTAAGAGTTTGTATACAATAATTGATAGTATATTATTCACTATTCATATTTAATTGTTATTAAATATTCAAAATATTAACACAAATAAATAGTATATGATACATTAATTATGTATAAATCTTTATACGGGTAGTTCATAAATATTATGTTTTGCAAGAAAAGAATAAAATTTGCATATTCTGAAAATTACATGGAGCTGTCTTTTGGGAACTAGGATTGGATATATATATCTCATCAAATTCATAGTCAATGAAATAATAAACAATAAAATGACATAAATGGGTCTTGCCTACTCACCAACATGCATTTTTTTCTTTCATTATTTACCCTTTTTAGGCACAAATAAATGATGAGAGTTATTCCAAAGTTAATTAATTAGTCCAACTTGTTACATTCAGTTTGATATTAATTTGCCACGTGTCACCTAATGATGAGACAAAGTTCCTTTCTTAGCTTTAGCTTTAGATCACATGTCCTAACTTGGTGTCTTCATCCATGTCTCGTCCACTTATATTTGGACATCTAAATTTAATTTATTATTTTTATAAAACAAAATTAAAATAAAATGTTATTTTTTAATTTGTTGGCAAACATTGATTAGTACATGACAGAGAGACAAGAAGTTTAAGGGACAAAGGATTCTTATTTCATTTATCAATGGACTAAAGTTTTTTTTAATTTGGTAGCGATAACTCACTTAATAATTAATATTGTAAGGAGTGCATTTATACATTATTCTTAACTTTGATGTTTCTTATTTCTATTAATTTAAATTTGGAAGGATAGTCATTGAGAAACACATAAGGCTCAGAAGATGAGGCCATTTATCAGAATGGCTCTTCCTTTTTAGAAAATAAGATTAAGAAAAATACTTCAATCACCAATATTATTTAGTTTGCTTCCACAATTTTTTATCTTGTATGTTTTAATTTGTCCACTTAGCTCCTAAATGAGTAATTTATTAAACAGCATTTTTGGCACCGTGTCCATAAAATTACCATTCTAACAATGAATAGCGGTTGCTTTCTCAACAAGAAATCTCAAGAAGAAAGTAAGAAACCAATGTTTAGTCAACTTTTAAGGAGTGAGATTCCTATTCATTACTGGAGAGGGAAATATTGTAGAATATCAAAAGAAAAACAATATGTATTAACATTTGTAACTTTTTTATCTAAAGTTAAATTATATTTTCACTCTTAAAATTCAAAGGAAATAATCACTTTCGTCCTGGAGAGGAGTTTCATTCACTTTTAAGACATATTGAAACTTATGTTGATTGGTGAAAGATAGATAGTTTCATAATTCATGATAGCCTAATTATTGTTTTTGTGAGTTAGGATATTCTCCATTAATGGACAGATAAGTGCTTCAAAAATAAAGGAAAACACAATTTTCAATAACATATTAGCATTCTAATTAAAATGAAATTACACTTTTACCACTAAATATAGAAGAAAATATATGTATTTCCGTATGATTGATATCACAATCTCTCATTGTTAAATACTTAAATTTGTATATAGGGTTTCAAACTTGCTTCTTCCCATATATATTCCAAACACCAAATTTTCAAGTTAAGCACTAACAAATTACTTTAAAACAAAACTTATTCATTAATCCCAACATTCTTTAACAAAAAAGCTAATAAAAAAGATATGAAAAGGTCATCATCATCTACCCCATGATACTCCTTCTGACAAAGTAAAGATCTTGAATGTGACAATGAAGAATGGCACTACAAAAATGTGTAGGATATGTGAGATCAGTGCAAAAGGGATACACAAAATTAGCCTATATAGCATTTCTGTTGAGTTATGAAGATCATCATAGAACACAATAGTCTTGTGTGTCTTAATTGGCAATTATTCTTGCATGATAAGGCAACCACGTGAGGGAATCGTGGTCCTTTCTGCCATGCACGTGAGTCCCAAAATATTGATTTTGTCAGTCACGGTTACTAAGTCTGGTACAAAAGGATCTTCATTCTGAACCAACACGAGACAAAGATAATAAATTAATGACTTACCGCCCCTAATTTTATACACATATTACACTGACTTTGATGAAATATAAGTGTAATATTTTAAACAAAAAAACGTGTGGGGATTGTAATTAAGTTAAACAAATATTATATATTGTGTAGACAATTCTAAATAATACAAAACTGAGTGTCTTTTCATTACTTATGTTTCATTACACGATATATTAACAATTTTAATGAAATGTTTATATAATCCTTATATTATTTTGTAATGAACCAAATAATGAAGATGTACTGACTCTTATATTATTTAAATTTGTCTACATAATATACAATATTTTGTTTAACTTAATTACACACTTCACATGATTTTTGTTTAAAATATTACACTTATATCTCATCAGGGGTAGTCAGTGTAATATATGTACAAAATTAGGGGTGGACAAAAAAAGCAGAAATGATTTTTATAATTTCATTAAAACTCATGAGTGTCACTGTAATTAACTCTAAATTAATAACTTAGAGTTAAAAAATGTATACATTGTCACTATATTATCTACGATTTATATTTAATCATCAATAATTCTTTAAAACAATAATACAAATGAATAGTTAATGATATTGAGTGTGTATAAATTTTTACAATATATACTATGGTCACATATATTGTAATAATGCATATGGATGAGTTTAACATTTTTTTTCTTCGTACACATGAGTTTTGGCATCATGACTACATTGTGTGTTTTATTAATAAAAAGTATAAAAATTGTTTTTGGATGTGAAAGAAGAGTAGCCACTTTCCAATTTATATCCTTTAATGATAACATATAGTTGCATAGACTTATTCTCACAAACTGTAGAGTTTAAGATGAGCACAAATTATATTATGAGCAAAATTGTTATATAAATATATAACCTAATATACTTGTATAGACCAATGATTTATATAGAAAAATGGTATATAAAGTATCTATAATTTTTATTATTCTAATTTGATTTCTGTGCCTTACAAGTTTGGTTTTATGTCTATATTTTCAAAATTCATAAGACTTGTCCATATTTAATTTTGATTCTTTTCCCATTGTAAATATAAAATTGAAATTATAAGGATTCGAAACTAACATAGACCAAAACTCAAATAATGATTACTTTTTAGTTGTTTTCATTTGGTCATGCAACACTTCTTTAAAAGAGATAGATTATGAGTCTTGGCCCATAACAATTATGGACCATTGGCTTCTTCCAAAGGCTAATTATGTCCAATTTCATAGTGCAATTATTACCATCAAAAGTTTACATAGATAACATTTCTTAGCTTTATGTTAACTATAAACCTTATCTCACCCTAAAATAAATAAAGCTTATCTATATTCTCTTGTAATACATTTTAGAAAGTTATATCAAGTAATCTTTATTGTACCAAAAGGAAAGTAATCTTTAAGTGTTTGAAAAAATACAACTTGTTAATTGCCTTGTGCAATCAACTTTTTAAATTCATTTTCGTCAAATAATATTAATTCAACTAAATAGATAACTTAAGGAGAAATATTGTATAAATTAATAAAATTCAAGAGTGATAGGTTATGTATCTTATTTTTAATCTTCCCTGCTTGGACCATTTGGAGAGGGCACTATTAATAAACTATATTGATGGACAGCAAAAAGTTTATGAAAATTATCTGTAAGTGGTAGTGGTATGCTTGTCTATCATGTCTCACTTATTTTTATTTTATGAAAACAAAATTGTTTGACCCAAATATAACTATTATGAATGTTAAAGTTTAGAGAGTAATGTATCTCTTTATACCATGAGATAATTTATTTTCTATGGCCAGTAAAAGAATAACATGTGTATTGTTTTGTTTTAGAAATATTTTTGTAAAAAATGATTAAATGGTACATATATCACAATTTTAGTGGTTGGAAAATATAATTTATCTCCTTATATCAGGAGATACATTATTCTCTAAAGTGTATTACCAAACTGGAATCCATTATTGTGCAGGGTTGGTCACTAATAATAAAGTAAAAGGCT